AGGGGACCATTCGATTCTGGGAATTGAATCCAGGTCGGTTGCATGCAAGGCAAATGCCCTACCCACTGTGCTATTGCTCCAGCCCCTGATTTTCAGTCAATGCCTGGGCATTTTCAAGGGCACTCCTGGCTTCGTGTTGGTTTTGGGATAACACTAGGGGTACCATGTGGCTCTTGGATCGAACCTGGGCCTCCCACATGCAAAGTATGTGCTCACTCAGCAATCTCTCTGTGCCACCTGTTTGTGTGTGTGTGTGTGTGTGTGTGTGTGTGTGTGTGTTACCAGGAATTGAACTCAGGATATCACACATGCAAAGCAAACGACCCTAGCACTGAGCCATACTCTGGACTTGTTGTGCAATTGAATTGAAGATTGAACCCAGGGCCTCATATTTGAAAAGCATGAACTTCACCACTGGACCGTATCCCTGACTCAGTGTCTGTATTTTAAAATTCATTTTATTTAATCACTCTGTCTCTGTCTGTCTGTCTCTGTCTGTCTGTCTCTGTCTGTCCCTCTCCGTCTGTCCCTCTCCCTCTCTCTCTTCCTCTCCTTTTCCCTCTCTCTCCCTCTCTTTCCCTCCTTCCCTCTCCCTCTCTGTCTCTCTGTGTCTCTGTCTGTCTGCCTCTCTCTCTCTCTCTCTCTCTCTCTCTCTCTCTCTCTCTCTCATTTGGGCCACACCTGGCAATGCTCAGGAATTACTCCAGCTCGGAACTTTGGAATAATTCCCAGCCTAGTAACTTATGGGGTACTAGGCAAGCGCCTTACCTGCTGTGCTATCTCTTTGGCTTCTAAGGCCCCTAAATTTTTCATTGTCATGTAATCAGCACCACCACTCAAATATACAATATCCGGCCCCTTTTGTGGCCACTCGGGGGTCATTCCTGGTGGCATTTGGGCACTGTGTAGTGACAGGGATTGAACTGGACTTTGCTTCTTTACATAGCTTTATGAGTGGCTTTAAAGTCACATTAAGGCAAAGTAGATTTTTTTCTTTTTAGGTCACATCCAGCAATGCACAGGGGTTACTCCTGGCTCATGCACTCAGGAATTACTCCTGGCGGTGCTCGGGGGACCATACGGGACGCTGGGAACCGAACCCGGGTCAGCCAAATGCAAGACAAACTCCCTACCAGCTGTGCTATCACTCCAGCCCCTAAAGCCACATTAATATGTGGTCATTTTTTATACTCCAGGGAGAGGTAAAACACTGTATGTGGCTGCGGTTGTCTGTTATCCTGAGTGTGTTTTGCTGATGTCCTGAGACTTTTGCTCTGGGGCAGGGAGACGCTCAGTGGCAGAGCACAGGCTTCCCTGGGTGAGGCCTGGATTTGGTCTCATTCTGCCTGGCCCCCACAACAGTGATCATTAAGGTATTTGCATCTCACAGGTGGCTCTTCGCTACCTACATCTTTGTTCTTTCTGTGAAATATGTTACTTTGGTTCAAAGTTGTAATTGGCATGGATAATCAAGATAGTGTGAGGAACAACAGCTGCAAAGAAATGGGTGTTTACATCAATGACTGGGTCGTGTCCTGGCAGAGTGAGCTTGGGTCTAGAAACTGAATGAGAGTATAGTGCTACCAAGCTTAAATAGAGAAGATTGTCAAGGGTTTGTCAAAATAAACTTTTGCCTGGGTTTACAGTGCCTGCAAAGAATGATGTTGGGAAAAGGAAGAAGAACTGCATCAACATTCGGGCAAAGTTCGTTTTGATTCAGTGAATTTATTCCTAAGAAAGATCTTGCTAATGCTTCATTGCCAAATGTCCTATTAACGGAAGGTTAGAATTTGCTTTGTGTTCTGTTTATTTTTGTTTTGTTTTGTGGCACCACCCTGCTGTTTTTAGGGTTTGCTCCTGATGTGTGCTCAGGGATCACTGTTGGGAGTGCCAGGGATTGGACCTGGGTTAGCTACGTGCATGGCAAGTGCCCTGTCCAATGTACTATCTCTCTGGTCGTGTTTGTTATTCTTTTCTCTGTTAGACTGGATTACTAGAGTCATCTGGTATGTTACTTCCCTAAAAGGCTAATCTTTCCTGTGTGGGAGAAGTTTTTTTTGCTTTTTGGGTACACCTGGTGAAGCACAGGGGTTACTCCTGCTCTGCACTCAGGAATTGCTCCTGGTGGTGCTCAGGGGACCATATGGGATCCTGGGAATCAAACCCGAGTTGGCCATGTGCAAGGCAAACGCCCTACCGGCTGTGCTATCGCTCCAGTCCTGAGAAGATTTTCTTAGAAAACTTTTTTTGTTCTTTAATTTTATATATATAAATATATATTATATATTTATATATATATATATATATATATATATATATATATATATATATAAAGGGCTGGAGCGATAGCACAGCGGTAGGGCGTTCACCTTACAAGCGGCCAACATGGCCGACCTGAGTTCGATTCCTCCACCCCTCTCGGAGAGCCCGGCAAGCTACCGAGAGTATTCGATATGCCAGACACAGTAACAACAAAGTCTCCAATGGAGACGTTACTGGGCCCGCTCGAGCAAATCAATGATCAATGGGAGGGCCTTTACCTTTTACCCTTATATATATACATATATGTATTCACATTTTAATTTTAGTTTTGAAACTCCCTTTCTCCTTGCCCTTCACAGTGGTTGTGGTCGTGACCAGGGGTCGCACACACACCATTCCGGCTTGCCCAGTTCTCACCGTGGTGGTTCAGTGGGATCAATATCAGAAAGGGGAGCTGCACCCTTGAGCCTGATTCTCAGAGGTTTGCTCTCCTTCACCTGCCATGTGCACCCCTGCACATAGGAGCAGAGAACATTTTTTGTTTGCTTTGGGCCACAGCCGGCATACTCAGGGGTTATTCCTGCCTCTGCACTCAGGGATCACTGCTGGCGGAACTCAGGGGACCATCTGGGATACCGAGGATCTAACCCCACTTGGCCGTGTGCAAGACCAGCGCCCTTCCTGCTGTGGGCTACAGCACTGGGCCCAAGCACTCTTCGTGGAGACCCCCAGGTTGTGGTTCCACTTGCAAACTCGATCCCACAGCCCGAGCGTGGTGCTTCTGTTTCTAGTTGCGTTGCTTGCTGCGGGTTTCTCCCAATTTTTGTGGTGCTCGCACCCATCTGGTTCTGCTCTAATGCAGGGCTGGGGTGCAGCTAGAAATTGCCCATGACAGGGGGATTGCAGACAGCAGAGCAGCTAGGAACATGCTCTGTGTGTGTGTGTGTGTGTGTGTGTGTGTGTGTATGTGTGTGTGTGTGTGTGTGTGTGTGTGTGACCCCCACCACCTTGCAGGGCTGGTGCTGTACCTGCTGCTATTCCTGTGGGCCTGTGGAGGGACTAATGATGTGGAAAACTTTCAGTCTCTTCTTCCTTTGTGGGTAGGTTTTGATTTTGGTTTTGGAGACATTCCTGGGACTTCCAATTCAGGGGTTGCGCTGTGTGGCACTCAGAGGACCAGATATGCCAGGGTGTGTGCAGGGCGCCCAGGTCCTCTGCATACAGAGCATGTGTCCCAGTCCACTGAACATCTCTCCAGCTTTCAGCTCTTTTCTTTCTTTTTTTTTCCTGCTTTTTGGGTCGCACCTGGCAATGCACAGGGGTTACTCCTGGCTCTGCACTCAGGAATTATTCCTGGCGGTGCTCGGGGGACCATATGGGATGCTGGGAATCAAACCCAGGTTGGCTGCATGCAAGGCAAGCAACCCTACCTGTTGTACTATCGCTCCAGCCCCAGCTCTTTTCTTTTTTAGGGTCTTGGTGGTGCTGGATCTGACCCCACCTTGATGTCAGCCGAAGACCCAAAATCTGCATTGCCAGGTGAGTGCCTTCACCCCAGGGCTGCCTTTCCGGCCCAGTTTCCCTGCATCTCGACTCATCGAACCCATCGCTCTTCTCCCAAGGGGCACCTGGGTCAGCTGCCAGGCTGGAGTCGGGAGGATGTGTCACTGTTCCTCAAACATGGCCCAAGTAAAACAAGTGGAACGAAGCCCCAGCCGAGGCAGCAACTCCTTGGGCCAGACCCCGCATTCCCGTGGGGGAGGACACCCCTCCTTCCTCTACCCTGAGCACCCAGGGCGTTCCTGTGGGCACCCAGGCCGGAACATCCCAACCAGCGTGGGGTGGTCCAGGCTCCCGTGTCTTCTGTTCCTCCTACACTGCTGCTTCTCGAAGGCCTTTGTCACCCCTCGACCTCCCAGGGCATCTGGGTGACCTTTAACCTGGGATCTGGTGGGTGAGGCCAGTGCTCTAGGAGTCCAAGGGGTCCCCCAGAGCCTCCTGGGTCAGCTGCAGGACGTGGGGGACCAGGCTGAGGGGTTCCGTGTCCCGGAGTCCAGAGCCAGGCTCTAGGCTTCAGGCTGAGCCTGCTTGGGGTGATGCTGTCTGGTGTGGACATTGGGGCTCCTGGCGTCCAATTTGGAGGCGAGAGCAGGGGCTTGTGGGGGCTCTGACCAGGCTCTGCCTGGACCTGGTGGGGTGTGAGGGGATACAGGGCACCCCTTGGCTGGCCTCCAACTGGTGCTTCTTCAGGGGAGAGGGTTTGACCGCACTGGCCTGGCCACTGCTCCCAAACTTCACTGGGGTCTGACGTCATGTGTCCAGGCATGGCTGGACCCCACCCCGCGGTGCCCCACACCCTCTGGGCGAGCTCACACTACCCCTGGCCCTCAGGCTCTGCCCCTGCTCCTCAGCATCCTCACAGCTCTGGGACCCCTCCCCCCACCTCTGACTTCAGGGAGACGCGTCCAGTCCACCTCCACCCCCAAGGCCACTGGGGACACCCTTCTTCCTGGTCCCACAGCCTCCCTGTCCTCCTGGGACCCCCTGGCTATCCAGGAGCACCGAGCTGCCCCACGGCCTTGCACCCCCATTGGGACGTCCCAGCCAGCTGCTGGCTGGGAAGCCCCCCAGCCCCACCCATTGCAGGCCCCCAGGGGAGGAGAGGCAGGAAAGCTGCGTAGGGCCCCTCATTTCACCATGGACACACAGACCCGAGGCCGTGCTCAGTGCTTAGTACTCAGCCTTCTATTCTGTTCACTCCTGCCTGCACTGGGCAGACCCGTCACTGCTGCCTCTGGGGAGGGGGAGAGGGGAAGGTCTGTGGCCCAGCCTGGGGTGCTCGTGGGTTTGTAGTGGTGCTGGGAAGGGGCCTGGAGGGCCTGGGTGCGTGCACGTGAAGTGGGGTTCCGGATCAGGACCGGGATGCAGGGCTCTTCCTGGGGGGATCCCCAGGTGTAGGGGTCTCTGAGAGCCTTCTTGGGGTGCCCGAGTTGGGGGTTCTCTCCCTGGGAGGGTGGGCATGAGCCTCTCGCGGATACTTGGGGCTGTCTCCTCCCCTTCTCTCCAGGGAGGCTCCCTCAGGAGGGCCCAGCTCATGGGGGTGGGGCTGCAGCCGGGGGCATGGGGGCACGGGGAGGTCGAGGGGGGGGCTTGGCCTAGTCGTCCTTGTCCTTGGCGCCATGCTTGAGGATGCGCGTGAACTCCACATAGTTGAAGTTGCCCTTCTTGTCAATGGGCGCCTCACGGTACATCTCGTCCACCTCCTCATCTGTGAAGCGGTCGCCCATGGTGGTCAGCAGCTCCCGCAGGTGGTCCTCATGGATGACCCCTGGAGCAGGGCCCAGGGGTGAGTCGGGGAGGGGAGCCAGGCCAAGCCCTGCCTGCACCCCTACCTGGGCCTGCCACCTCCCACCCCCCTCCTGTGCTCTCTGCGGTCCCCCAGCGGGGAGAGTGCTGTGGGAACTGTCGGGGGGGGGGGTTGGGGGTTGGGGGGCTGTGCAGGGCATGCTGGGCCTCTCCTGCCTTTAGAGTTCAAGCCCCCTGATGCTAGCGCTGGAGTCCACCCACGAGTCACTCCACCTCCCTCGGTGCCTATTTGGTTTGGGAATGTGGAGGGCTGACGTCAGGACAGTGTTCTGATGTGCCTGGGCAATTGGGGGGTGTCTGTGGTCTCCCTCCCCGCCCCCTTCCCCCGCCCCACACACACACAGTGTCACATTCCAGCTGGAACACAGCTGGTCCTGCTCTGCTCTGGCCTGGCTCAGTTTAGCTGGGGCATCGGACTGGGCATTAGTTTCTGTCCCTTCCGCTGGCCAGAGAACATTGCTTTCTGGTTACTATAGGGGAGTGTTTGAGCTTTGCCGGGGGGCTATTCCTGGTTCTTTGCTCAGGAGTGACCCATGGCCATGCTCAGATGACCATACACGGTGCCAGGGACCAAACGGGTCAGCAGTGTGTAAGGCCTTACGCCTGCAGTATCGCTCTGCCCTCCCGAGCAAACCATGGCTTGACTTCCTGAAGGGGTCAAAGCGGTTAGAGAAGGGGGCGGCGGCGTGGCTCAGAGCACTTGGCCTGCGAGTGTGAGACCGTGGGTTTGATTCTGGCACCGCACACGTCAGTGAACAAGAGAGCAAACCGTGCTCAGAGTCTCAGCATGGGAGAGAACCAGGAAGCAGCCGTGCCTGAGCTCTGGGTCAGAACCAGCTGCTCTGGGTCTCTGCGGAAGGCCTGTCCTGGCCGTGGGGGGGCTAGGGGGTCCTGGCACACGCCCTGCGCTGACCTGAGGCCTCCTCGTCGAAGCAGGCGAAGGCGTTGCGGATCACGTCCTCGGGGTCGGTGCCGTTCAGCTTCTCCCCGAACATGGTGAGGAACATGGTGAAGTTGATGGGCCCCGGGGCCTCGCTCATCATGCCCTCCAGGTACTCGTCCGTGGGGTTCTTCCCTGCGGGCGGGGACACGTGAGTCTGTGGCCACAGCCCGGCCTGCTCCAGCCCGGTGGTCCCCTCCCCGCTGACCCCAGAGCCCCACAGGTTTGAGGAAGGTCCACATATATCATGTGTGTGGGGTGAGTGCGGGCAGCCCTATTCCGAGAGCTTGTCCGCTGCCTGTTTCTGCCAGGTGCTGGCAGTACCCACACGGCTCAGATCAAGCCCCCTTGCCCCCCACCACCCCCGGCACATACATAGCTCTGCACCACAACTCAGCTTTCATCTTTTTTTTTTTTTTTTTTTTTTGCTTTTTGGGTCACGCCTGGTGGTGCACAGGGGTTACTCCTGGCTCTGCACTCAGAAATTACTCCTGGCGGTGCTTAGGGAACCCGGGTTGGCCGCGTGCAAGGCAAACGCCCTACCCGATCTGCTATCACTCCAACCCCATCTTCTTCTTCTTTTTTTTTTTTTTCCCTTTTTGGGTCCTACCAAGTGATGCTCAGGGGTTCCTCCTGATTGCACTCAGGAATTATTCCTGACGGTGCTTGGGGGACCATATGAGATGCTGGGAATTGAACCCGGGTCAACTGCGTGCAAGGCAAATGCCTTCCCTGCTGTACTGTCGACATCCTTTTTTCGGGGGGGGGGGGTCCTGCACCTAAGACAGTGCTCAGGAACTATTCCCAGCTCTGTGCTCGAGGGTGGCTCCCAGCTGTCTTCAGGGGACCATGAAGTGCACGGGGCCGACCCTGGGGCTCCCTCGGGCTGAGCATGGGTTCTGCCCCTGGAGCTGTCTCTCCTGCCCCCTTGTAGGATGGGGCCTCGTGGTCGGTCATTGCTGCCACGTGCATGCTGGTGATCCTGAGGGAGATGCTCTGAGTTGGACCCGCGAACAGGAGCACCAGACTAAGGGTGTGGGTTTTCTATCTTTTTTTTTTTTCCTTTTTGGGTCACACCCGGTGATGCACAGGGATTACTCCTGGCTCATGCACTCAGGAATCACTCCTGTTGGTGTTCAGAGGACCATATGGGATGCTGGGAATCGAACCCAGGTTGGCTGCGTGCAAGGCAAACGCCCTACCTGCTGTATTATCGCTCCAGCCCCGGGGGTGTGGGTTTTCTGGGAGGTGCCCAGGGCTGCCATGGATCTCAGGCTTAGCACCCTGGGAGAGGGGGGCCTGCCTCCGATGTGGGAGGGTATGTCCATTCTGTGTCCCTGCAGGCTGGCTGGGCCCCCCAGCCTCTGGGGTCTCCGCACCCACAGCCCCGCTGCTCCCCAGGCCTCCTTTGCGGGTGGTCTGCTGGGGCGGGGCACTGAGAGGTGGCAGTGTTCCCCACTCAAGGTCTCCCGCTTCTGGGCATGTGGGTGGTCACACAGGACCACTCCCCCTGAGTACAGGCAGGGGACAGATGCACCAGAGCAGAGGCACCAGGGAGCGCTCAGGGCTGACCACCCGGGCTGTGTTCACTGTGATCCCCTCTTTCAGGAGGGAGGGACGTGGGGGCTGGGCACAGGCTGGAGGGCGTCCCTGGGGCTCAGCTTCCCCCATCCAAGCCTCTGTGAATCAGATCCAGTTCCTGAGCTCTCTGAGCACAGAGATGCAGATTCTGGGCAAGTGATGGGGCTGGAGGGGCCTGGGGGCCTCTGAAGTCAGGAGGTCCCCTGGCCACACCTCGAGGCCCCGGCTTTGTCTACAGGGTGGCAAGTGTGTCACTCAAAGTGGCTCCTAGAGGGTCAGATAGAGAAGGAAGCACCAAATAAAGGGTGTTGGGAGGATCCTCCCAGGATGGGAGACGCATGCTGAAAGTAGACTATAGACCAAACATGATTGTTACCCATTGCCTCTTTTGCAAACCACAACACCCAATAAGAGAGAGAGAACAAAAGGGAATTCCCTGCCACAGAGGCAGGGTGGGATGGGAGGATGGGGGTTGGGAGGGATACTAGGATCCGTGGTGGTGGGAAATGGGCACTGGTGGAGGGATGGGTATTTGATCATTGTATAATTGAAACACAAGCACAAAAATTTGTAAGTTTACAACTGTACCTCATGGTGTTTCACTAATAAAAATTAAAAAATTAAAAAAAAAACAAAAACAATAAAGTGGCTCCTAGAGGGCCAGAGCACTAGGACAGCAGGGAGGGCGCTTGCTTTGCAAGTGGCCAATCCAGATTCCATCTCCGGCATCCCATATGGTGCCGTGAGCACCGCCAGCAGTGATCCCTGAGTGCAGAGCCAGGAGTCAGCCCTGAGCATCGCTGGCTGGGGCGCCCAACCAGCCAACCAAAGAGAACAGCTTTACCTCGCTGACCTGCTCTAAAAACAGCAAAAAGAGGCAGAACAGGGGCTGCAATGATAGCACAGCGGGTAAGGCATTTGCCTTGCATGCAGCTTACCCGGGTTCGATTCCCAACATCCCATATGGCCCCCTGAGCACCGTCAGGAGTGAATGCATGCATTCCTGAGCCAGGAGTAACCCCTGTGCATCGCCGGGTGTGACCCAAAAAGTGAAAAAAAAAGAGGCAGAGCGGCTCTTAGAGGCGGAGTACCCACTCAGGGGAGCCCTCCAAGGCTGGGGCGCCCCTCCCTGCCCCTCGGGGCCCTCACCCAGCGAGGCCAGCATGTCGTGCAGGTCCTCCTTGTCAATGAAGCCGTCGCGGTTCTGGTCAATCATATTGAAGGCCTCCTTGAACTCCTGGATCTGCGATTGGTCGAACATGGCGAAGACATTGGACGTGGCCCTCTGGGGCCGCTTCTTGGTGGTCTTGGCCTTGGCCCTCTTGCTGGACATCTTGGCTTGTGGGGTGGGGGGGTTTCCCTGAAGGTGGAGGATGGGCATGGGGTGGGGGGAGGAGAGAGAGCTGATGACTGGGGCACTGGAGGGTCCCTGCCTCTTCTTCTACTTCTCCGGGGAGTTTCCTCATCTGGGAGCGGGGACCCCCGTTGTGGCCAGCGTTGGAACCCTTCCCCCCTGGAAGAGGGCAGACACAAAGACCTGAGTCCCCCCGCAGGTTTGGCCAAACCCTCAGGACAGGCTTGGCCCCACAGTCCCGCAGCACTCCCATGGGGGGCCGTGAGGGCAACGCCCCCACAAGGAAGAGCTGGACCAGCAGCCTGACACCCTCAGGGTGTGCCTTCCCCTGGTTCTGGAAAAGCCTGGGTGTGCAGCCCCCCACCCCACCCCTCCTGTCTGCTGTGCCCCTGCCCCTGTGGGTGACTGGCCTGGCCTGGACAGTCTCTCCTCCTCACTCCCCGAGCCAGACAACCCCAGGTCCTTGTCACCCACAGTCACACCTGATCCCACTTCTCAGCCGGCTCTCACCCCCAGTGGCCCAAACCTGCACCTCTTGCCCCCTGGAGGGTTCTGGGCAACTCCCGAGCCATGTTCACTCACCCATCTCCCTCCCCGTGTCTGCCATCCCCCCCAATCTGTGGGTCTGCTGAGCTGGGGTCCAGCTATCCCTCTGCCTCAGAATACCCCCCTCCCCCAGGGTTTTCCTTGGTCTCTCCCCCTGAAGGCTTGTCCTACGGGCGCCCCAGGGTGCTGGCCTGACTCTGCCCTTGCTGTGACAGGAACACTGGGCATGCTGTGTGTCCCCTCACCACCCCCACCCCCGCAGGGCTCAAAGCGGCTCCTTGGGTGAGTGGCTCTGAAGCAGCTTTGTCCAGGCGGCTGCCCCCACTACACAGGCTAAGAAACTGAGACCCACAAGGGGCACTTTGCCGGAACTGTACCCTGAAAGCTGAGAGTCACTGTGGCCTGTCGGAGGGGCCCAGGCCTGCTGCCCCTCTTTCCCTGGTCCAGCGTCTTGTTTCTTTGCCCCAGACTGTGTGGTTCTGAGCATCCTCGGAGCAACCTCTGGGCCTTCAGCCCAGGACCCTGGTCCTTCCTGCGACCCCCAATTTCTGCACCCCCATCCTGGCATGTCCCCGGGTTGAGGTGGGTGACAGACGGCTTCCCGGCCTGACCTTCCTGGACCAAGCCAAAGTAACCCCCACTCAGACCCAGGTGCGAATAGAGGCCCCACCCGGACTCTGTCCTGGATATCTGGGACATCCCTGTGGTGCTTGGCGGACTGTGACAATGGCGACCCCCCACAGATCTCCCAGGACACCTCCTGGCTGTGGGGCTGGGCCGGGTGGGCGCCCACGCCTCAGTGTCCAGCCACATTCCTGCGAGCAGCTGCAGTGTGGGTGGGGGCACAGGTTAGCGCCAGGGCCACGACCCCGGGAGTGTGTGTGTGTGGGGGGGCCCTCTCCAGCCTCTCTCCTGGCTAGGCGTATGGGACCCCCCCAACCCCCCCCCCCCCGCACCTGGCCCTGCACTCACCTGGAGAGAGAAGGCGCTGCGCGAGTGCGCTCTGTCGCTCGGGCTGTTGCTCTGGCTGTCTGTCTGTTGGTCTGTCTGTCCTCCCTTCGGTGCATCCGCAGCTGTGGCTCAGGCCCAGCCTTACAAGGCAGAAGAATGTGCACTGGGGGCGGGGCCGCGCCCGCCTTATTTGGCCTCCGGCCGTATGGAGAGATGGGGGTGGGGCCGGTTGCACCCCCAGGCTGTGGGGTGGGCAGGAGGAGAGAGCCAGCAGGGTGAGCGCCCCCCACTCCCCACCCCGCACCCCCAGACTGGGCTTACCAGTTCTCAGAACCAGCCCCTGCCCCCCAGAGTCCCTGCCCGGTGCCCCCCAGGAGGACAGGCCTGTCCATCAGACCATAGAGGGCCTCCTGGGTGGAGGTACCACCCCTGCTCTGTGGAGTGCTCTCAGTTTCCCCCTGAACGGGAAGAAGGGAAGTGGTGGAGGCCGAGAGGGTGCAGCTGGCCAGAGAGGACTGTGGTCTGGAAGGACAAACACCCCCTGCCCCAGCCCAGAGGCACCCCCATCCCTGGGACTGCAGAACCCGCAGCCTCTCCAGACTCCTGCGGGCTTTATATCTAACTGAGGGTGGGGGGCTCTGACGTAGCACACAAGTGTCCAAGGGGACGTGCCACCCTCCTCCTGCAGGGACACAGTCCCCCCCCCCCCCAGGGACCTGCCCCTGCCCCTTCCTGTACCGGGATAATTAGGATAGGGAAGGGACCGGGACGCAGGTTGATATGCTGTGACATTTGGGCAGTGCTGAGGGAACCTTGGAGCAAGGGGGGCTTGGCCAGGAGCTGGTGGCCTGAGTGCTGGTGGGGAGGGATGCGAGGGGAGAGAGCGGGCACCCGCAGGCTCCTTTGGGCCACTGTGAGGCTCTGAGCTGTGAGAATTCCAAGCAGAGGGAGCAGCCTTGGGTCTGTGGACCCTGCACCCCACTGGGCGGTGATGCCACAGACAGCAAGGGACAGGGCTGCGCTCAGCCCTGGTGGCAGCCTTCCAGGAGGGAGGAGGGAGGCGCTGGGGTTGGGGACAGGCCAGGAGGATGAGGCAGGGCTTCCTGGGACTGGGGTCACTTTGGCAGAGCGGCTGGAAAGAGAAAGGCCGTTTCCTGCCGGGTTAGGGGAGAGATGAGTCCTGCACTTGGGCATTGATTTTTGTCTTTTTTTTTTTCCCGGGGGGTTGTGGGCAGTGATGAGAGGTTTGGGTCACACTCGGTGGCGCTCAGGGCTTACTCCTGGCTTTGTGCTCAGGAATCACTCCTGGCGGGGATCGGGCGGGGGGGGGGGGGGGACCAAATCTGGGTTGGCTGAATGCCAGAAAAGTGATCAACTTTCGTACTGACAGTACACTCTGAGTACACTCCGTGACAGTGCACTCCCTCTCTGGCCCCTTCCAGAGCATTTTAATCAGTCCCAGAAGACATTGTGCCATCGGCAGTGACATCCCACCTCCCTTTCCTTCCTCCCCTCACTCTGGCAACCATGCAAGCATACAGATTCCTATCTGGGATTGGACCAGGAGGTGCTCTCGGGTGGGTATCCTAGAGATTGTCTCTGACCCTTGCTCTCTGGGACATTGTCACACCACGGGGTGTGACACAATGGGGTGTTCTGGCCCCCAGGTTTATACTGCTGTCTGATCTGGCTACAGCTTGAGGATTGCCGGGGCCAGAGAGTACTAGGGTTCAGGATCTTGCCTTGCATGTGACTGACCTAGGTTTGATCACTCAGGTCAAACCCTGCTGCACTGGGACCCCTGAGCCCTGTCAGGTCCAAACCCCTGTGACTCGAAAGATGAAAAGACAGTCACACACTCACATGCACACACGTGCACACATGTGCACACACACACCACACTCATACACATACACACACACACTCACACACACACACACACACACTGGTTCCTTAGTAGCCCTAGGGAACTTTTCTTTCTTTCTTTCTTTCTTTCTTTCTTTCTTTCTTTCTTTCTTTCTTTCTTTTTGGGTAACACCGGCGATGCACAGGGTTTACTCCTGGTTCTGCACTCAGGAATTACTCCTGGTAGTGCTCAGAGGACCATATGGGATGCTGAGAATTGAACCCGGGTGAGCCACATGCAAGGCAAACACCCTACCTGCTGTGCTATCGCTCCAGCCCTGGGAACTTGTTTCTTAATAGTTCCTTTGTGACTGGGTATTTTTTTTTTTATGAACGATTGTTTTCTGCAAATAGTTTAACTTCTGTTTTCCATTTTGGATGGGCTGGAGCGATAGCACAGCGGTAGGGCGTTTGCCTTGCACGCAACCAACATGGCCGACCCGAGTTCGATTCCTCCGCCCCTCTCGGAGAGCCCGGCAAGCTACCGAGAGTATCTCGACCACACGGCAGAGCCTGGCAAGCTCCCCGTGACGTATTCGATATGCCAGACACAGTAACAACAAAGTCTCCAATGGAGACGTTACTGGGCCCGCTCAAGCAAATCGATGAACAACGGGAGGGCCTTTACCTTTACCTTTCCATTTTGGATAGGCTCCCTCCGGCCATTCGTTTTCTTGCCAAACTGTCCTAATTGGAACCTCAGGAACAGTTTGAATGGAAGTGGCAAGAGCAGACATCCATCCCTGTATTGTTTCTGATTGTAGAAGCAAATTTTCTGTCTTTCATGCTTTCTGCCTTTGGGGGTGGTGGTATTATGTTTTGGGGACACATGTGGCCGTTCTCAGGGGCTGCTCCTAGCTCTGTGCTCAGGAGGGACCCTGGTGGGTTTTGCTGGACCATATGTTGCTGGGTATGGAATCAGGGTTGGCTCTAAGCAAGACAAGCGCTTTCTCTCCCACTATCCCTTCCACCTTTCACTTGTTTGTTGTGCTGTTTTGGGGCCACACCTGACGCTACTCAGGGCTTACTCCTGGCCCTGTGCTCAGCGATCACACCTGGCAGAGCTTAGGGGATCATGGGGGTGGTGGGAATTACATCCAGGTCAGCCACATGAAGGCAAGTGCCCGACCTGCTATACTATCACTTTGCCCGCCCCCACCTCTGCCCCCGTGTTTCACTCTTAAATGTGACATGAGGGAGGTTTTTCTGGATACCTCCTATCTGTGAGGAAGCTCTTTGTATGTGTATCTTTGTGTGTGTGTGTGTGTGTGTGTGTGTGTGTGTGTGTGTGTGTGTAGCATATACCTGGTACTCAGCACGCACTCCTGATTCTGCACTCAGGGATCACTCCTGGTGCCTCTAGGATAGGACCATATGGGATGCTGGAGATCTAACCCAGATAGGTCATACGCAAGGCAAGGGCCCTACCCTCTGTGCTCTCCAGTCCTGGGAGTTCTTGTCTATTCCTAGTGTATTGCATGTATCGATAAAGGGTGCCAAGGGGCTTGGCCAGACGCCTTTTCTGAACCGAGAAACCCTGAATTTCTCTGAAACTGTCCCCTAGCTTTTCTTTGTCCCCTCAGTGCTGACATTTGTGAGTCCAGGCCTGTTACTTTGTGTGACCTCTCAATAAACTTCGGTCTGTTTTCTTTTTAATCTTGTCTGGGCATCTCGTGGTGCTGGATGGAATTTGGGGCTCCTGCAAGCACAGCTGTGCTCAGCCCAGAGCCACCCTCTTGGAGTCCACATTATTGACAGGAAAATCTCCAAAATGTCACATCCTGGCCTCTGAGTGCATCGAGTCAGAAATGTTAACTTTTTCTCATCATCACATAAAAGCTTTGACCATCTAGTTCAGGTCACTTCTGTCATATTTATCCATCATAAAGTTACTGTTGTCCCTTATTTTTAATTAATTTTTTTTCTTTTTGCTTTTGGGGTCACACCCAATGATGTTCAGGGGTTACTTCTGGCTCTGCACTCAGGAATTACTCCTGGTGGTGCATGGGGGACCATAGGGGATGCCAGGGATTGAACCAGGGTGGGCCGCGTGCAAGGCAAATGCCCTACCTGCTGTGCTATCACTCCGGCCCCTGTTGTCCCTTTTTTTAAAAAACTTTTGTTTTGGGGCCATAGTTGGCGATGCTCAGGGTTTACTCCAGGCTCTGCTCTCAGGAATGACTCCTGGAGATGCTTGCAAGACCATCTGGGCTGCTGGGGCTGCTGCATGAACCTGCATGCAAGGCAGATAAGGCACATGCCCTACCTCTGTGCTCGTTCTCTGCCCTCATGTCCACCTTTTAAAAATTCAGTATGTTGATGGACTGTTTCTTGAAGATGGAATTCGTAGTCCTCCGCCTTTGAACAGTGGCTTTGATGGCTGCCAAGTGCCAATTTCCAAACCTTTCTCCCACTGTTCACTGTGATTAGTGGGAGGTGTGGGGTCCCAGACCTCGTGCTTATGTCTCCCTGTGGTGCTGACCTGGGTCCCTCCCTGAGGTCCAGACAGACCCTTGAGGTCCTACCCCTGCCACAGCAGATGCCCACCGCTCCTCCGTTTACTCGTAACTCGTGTTGGTTTGGCAGCCAAGGCTGTCTCAGACCTCGTTGTCATTTACTCTCCAAATGCGCCCCCTTCTAGGCTCAGGACAGCAGCAGGTCCTGGAAGGCACCCACCACTGGCCCGGGAGTGAGATCCCCAGCTGCAGTCCAAGTGCCCGGTGGCCACAGCTCAGGAGGGAAGGGCTGGGTCCAGGGGCCGCCAGAGGTTTGGCCCCAGAATTGTCCCAAGAGACCCGTGTTCCCATAAGGCATGGTCACCGCCAGGTCCTGGGCCCGGGTGTGACAGCCCCTCTACGTGCCCAGCAGGCTGCTGCATGCACCCGTGGGTGCAGCCCTCCCGGTTCCCATGGCCTCCTGTGGCACGTGGTCTTGCCCGTCAGACATGGACAGGTGCGTCTGGCTGTGAGTCCTGTGGGCGAGCTGCTGGGCTCAATGCTGGCAGTGTCCAGGGGAAGGCAGCCCCTGGGTGGAGTGTGGGGCGTACCGAATGCCCCGGCCTCAGATGGGTGGGCTGTATGGGAGGGCTGCTCTCCTGGGTTCCCACATTGCTTTTTGTTGTTTTTTTTGGGGTCTCACCTGGTGGTGCTCAGGGGACCGTAAGTGGTCCTGGAATGGGCACCAGAGTCATGGCCACAGCAGCATGTTAGAAAGTGCCTCGGCCTCTATGCTGTCTCTTTTTTTTTTTTGCTTTTTGGGTCACACCTGGCGATGCACGGGGGTTACTCCTGGCTCTGCACTCAGGAGTTACTCCCTGGCAGTGCTCAGGGGACCATACGGGATGCTGGGAATCGAACTCAGGTCGGCCACGAGCAAGGCAAACGCCCTACCCACTGTGCTATCTCTCCAGCCCCTATGCTGTCTCTTTAGGGAAGTGTATGTGTATACAAATATACATATACATATACATATGTACATACATACATATGTATGTTTTGGGGGCCACACCTGGCAGTGCTCAGAGCTGACTCCTGGCTCTGTACTCAGGAATCACTCCTGGAGATGCTCAGGGGACCATATGGGGTATCAGAGACCAAACCTGGATTGGATGCATGCAAAGCAAATGCCCTGCCTGCTGTACTATCTATCTCTCTGGCCTTTTAGGCCAACCATTAAAAAAAAAAAGTTTAAATTTAAAAGAGAAATTTAAAAAAAATTTTAGGAGTCCACACTTGGTGGTGCTTGGAGGACCATACATGCGGTGTTGGGGACAGAACGTGGGGCTCCTGCATGCAAATGTGCTCCAGGCCACCGAGCTCTCTCCAGCTAGGGAGGTTTGAAGCCCTCTCGCTCACAATAAGCTGGTGGGCGGGCCTGCCTCTCCAGGTGAGGAGATTCAGAATTTAGTTTCCTTTTTTTTATTTTTGGCTTTTGTGTGTGTGTGTGTGTGTGTATCCTGACGATACACAGGAGTTACTCCTGGCTCTGTACTCAGGAATCACTCCTGGCAGTGCTCAGGGGACCACATGGGATGCTGGGAATCGAACCCGGGTTGGCCACGTGCAAGGCGAACACCCTACCTGCTGTGCTATGGCTCCAGTCCCTGAAATATGGTTTCCTGTGCAGGGTCAGAGCCTCACACTCTACTTACCCTGTGTCCAGAGTGGCTGCCTAGGAGGGTTCCGATTGGTCTCCTGGAGTTACCCATGCCCCGCACACCCCCCCCCCCCCCCATTTCACCACAATAACACCAGGAGCCCTTGGTACACGTTACCTCATTTATTCTCACAACATGCCTGTGAGGTAGGGAGGGGCGGGACTGTCCCCATGTTACAGAGGAGGAAGTTGAGGCACACAGAGGTCAAGTGACTTGCCCAAGGTCACAGACGGCGGCCAAGCTGGAATGGGGCCCCAGAGCGGGCCCTGGTTTCCCCGGGCCCCTGCAGCAAGCCTAGACACGAAGACGCGTCCGGCGCCAGGTCCCCCCCACAGCAGATCAGAACCCCGAGGCCTGAGCCCGCTGCCGAGACCCGCGCCTGCCCGCCCCGCCCCGCGGGCCTTTGCAGCTCAGGGTCCGGACACCCTGGGAGTGGGGCTGAGGGGCGCAGGAGAAAGGAGGAGGGTGGGGGGCGAGAAACAGAAGAGAACAGAAAACTCAGGCTGGGCAGATGGGCCCGGGGGTGGGGGAGGGGACGGACAGGACGGGAAGAAAAAAAAAAAGGGAAGGGGGCTGCTTACACACAAGGTCTATATTTTTACACACACTTGTACACACACCTAGATATAGTACATGTAAAAATATATGCTATTCACACACCCGCCTCCTGCCAGGTGCCCCGCGAGCTGGGCATGGGTGAGCAGATGGGCGATTGTTAAATATACTCTAAGTTCTATGTGCATATGTACACGACGAACAGACACCGCTGCCCGCCCCCCGGCGCTGGGCACGGGCGCTGCCAAGGTTCGAGGGCCCCGGGAGGAAGCCGAGGGCGCGCTCGCGTCCCCCGCGTGCCCCTCTGAGCCAGACGATCCGCGGAAGGAAGAAGGGGCTGGAGAAGTGGGCGTGTGGCGACCCACAGCTTTCTCTCTGCCTCCCTCCGGGGAGGAGCCCAACTCTCAGTCCGGCCCAGGGGCGTTCTGGGCCTGCCTGGGGGGCGCGGAGGGGGGGGCAAGCCATGGGGGGCAGTGGGCGCTGTGCCGGGGGCAGGGAGGAAAGCTACATCTGCGTGTGCACGCGTGTGTGACTGTGTGTGAGCACTTGGTGGGAGGGGCTGGGGGATGCGTGTCCGTCTCTGTTCTCTGGGCCCCCAACCCCAGAAAGGGCTGGGGACCAGCCAGCTGCAAGTCGGGATGGTGACCCCTGTGTGAGCTCCGAGGGGAAAGAGAAACAACGGAAGAATGAAAATTCCAAGGTCGGAGAGGGTCAGCGGGGGAGGAGGAGGGACAGGGCAGACGCCCAAGGCTGCCCCTTTGGACGGTCGTCTTGTAAACAAGCTAGAGTGGTTCTCGTTAGAACAGGTAAAAAGACCGCGGGCCGGGCCGGGGGCTGCCTTGGTCCATCCATCTGGTCCACCACGGCCAGCAGGAGGAGGAAAAACGTTGGAAAGTTTTGTGTTTTGCTGACATCTTTGTGGGTGAAGACTTCATAATCTAAACCTGGGAGGGACCCAAACAAGCCAAATCGTGAGCCCTTGGATGCGTCAATTGGAAAGTTGGCTCAGGGTCTCGAGACAGAACGACCGTACTAAAGGTTGAGAAAATTTTGTTCCATTTGCATTTAGTTTATGTGTTTTTTTTTTTGTTTTGTTTCGTTTTTGTTTTTAATGACTTAAAAGCGTTGATCCTTGCTGGTTCTCAGAGCCGGGTCTGGGCCTCGGGGACATAGATCTCGATGCTGTCCGCACTCTCTGTGGCCGAGTTCTGCCGCACAGACGCGGCCCGTTTGGCTGCCAGCAGTCTCTTGCGGGCCTCCTGCCGCTGCTTGTCCCCGGCGTCTGAGGCCTTGTCCCGGCTCACCGCCGGCTTGGATTTGGCTGGCTTCTTTGGGACCGGAGGGGGTGGTTTCTTCTCTTCCTTTAGTGAGACAGTGAGGGAAGGAAAAAATAAAATAAAGGTGCCACATTGCGCATGCGTGTGGCGCTACCTAGCCCCGACCACATGCTGGCAGCTCCCGCCCCCCACTGCGCCCCACACACAACGCGCATGTGGATCCAGGAAGCCACGAGAAGCGATGACGATGGGGACGGCACGAGCACAGGAAGCAAGCTTAGACTTGAAGGAGGAGTTTCGGGCAGAAAGGGATGGACCCATCAACCCGTGCCCAGCCCTGCTTGGGACCACCGGGACCCCAAGGCTCGGGCAGAGGGGGACGGGGCCTCGGGGCTCTGATATCACACTTCATGCACGGGCCACAGTCCCACAGCAGTGACCCTAGGGTCGCCGGGGGCCACTGCTTTCCGGGAGGGGGGAGAAAGCTGGCTCCGGGGGAAGACCCTCTGTCGGGCCACCAAAGTTATACCAGCCTGTCAGTGACCAAGTGGGCAGCCACCTCCCGGGACCCCCCCACCCTCCAGCACCTATGTGACATGCGGGGCAGGACGGGGCATGCGTGGGGGCGGGGCGGGCGGCATGCTGGGGTGGGCGCCAAGCATGGACCCCCGCACGCGGGCGATGGACGCGAGCCCCCAGCTCAAAGACGACACACGGAGAAGGGGGCCAAGCAGCACTGACCGATGTGGCAGCGTTATTGCCGACCAGGAATTTGTCCCTGGACTTGCCCTCCGCACTGCTCCATGCTCACCTTCCTCTTCTCGGGGGTCTCCACCAGCTGCCAGCTGTTGGCCTTGAGGTGGTAGAGCTCGTCAAACTTCATGCTGATGTCCTCGATGGACAGCTGCAGCAGGTCCCAGAACCCGGCCAGGTCCTGGGCCGTGGGACGCGGGTTGGCGTCAGGGTTCTGTTGGGGGCAGGGAGACGGGGCATCAGTGGGGCAGGCGGGACAGGCGCGGGTGTGGCACCCCATCCCCCCAGGGGGGTTGCTCCCCCTCTGAGTGAGGTGGGGGGGTCGCTGAGGGGCCAGCTGCCAGTCAGCAGGAGCTCTGAAAGTCAAAGAGCCTCGGGAGGGGCCTGACCTGTGTCCCTGCAGTGGCCAGAAGGCCTGCAGGAAGGCCGGACACACGACTGTTCCCGGGCCCGGGGAGAAGCCAGCATGGCTGGTAGGTGGTGCCCCTTATGTGGCTTCTCTCTCATCCACCCGTCTGTTTGGGTCACACCGGCGATGCTCAGGGGTTATTCCTGGCTCTGCACTCGGGAATTACTCCTGGCGGTGCTCGGGGGGACCATATGGGATAATGGGAATCGAACCTGCGTCAGCCACGTGCAAGGCAAACGCCCTCCCAGCTGTGCTATTGCTCTGACCCCTCATCCACCCATCTGTGGCCAAACATCCTTCACGGCAGGTCCCAGACACATCCCCCTCCACAGGGAAACTCTCCGCTCTCTAAGCAATAAGGCCACACCTGGCAATGTTGAGGGCTTACTCCTGGCGGGGTACAGGGGACCATACCGGGGACTGAACCCAGCTGTGTATGAGGCTGGTGCCCCTCCTGCTATACTAAGGCTCCGGCCCCTGAGGGTATTTTTTTTCACGCAGGGCCCACCAAGCCTGGGGGGCAGGGGGGTCGTATGCAGTGCTAGAGATTGAACCCTGGCCCCCAAGTGGTGCTATTCCATTATCCTTACCTTGACACTTTCTCTTAGTATACGGATTGCTACTTTTATGATTTTTGCTTTGGGGGCCACACCCAGTGCTGCCGGAGACGGAGCCCAGCATCTCTCTGGCCCACTGAGCACTGAGCTCCCGCCTGGCCTCGGGGAGCATGTTCTACGCAGACAGCACTGCTGACTTATTCTGGACCACTTTTCAGAGGTCCAGAGTTGAGAGGGTTGGCAGGACATGTGTCTTGTCATCCTTCTCATGCCCTTGAGGGAGCAGTGATGGGTCCCGGCAAACAGCCGAGCTAGGACTCATGGCGAGAAGTAGGGCAGGAAGAAGAATTGAACTCACCAAGTTTTGCTCACAGAGGCCCCGGAACTGCTGGAATTTCTGGGACATCAGGAGCTGGGCACTGCCCACAGCACTGAGGACTTTTCCTAAGACTGAGAGAGACAAGATAGGAGAGGGCTGAGCAGAACGCAGGGGGCAGGGGGACAGAATCACGGCTTCCATCTTTCCAGACCATCTTCAGACAAAAATCTCTAATTGTACTTGGCACCTGGTCTTCATTTTACCCTTCTGCTAACCCACTCTCAACTGTGAAATATGTAAATGGTACTTAGTCCCACCAACTCGTTCCTAAACATTATGGCAAAATATATGAAAATTGAGTTTAAATTAAAAAAAATTCCAAGAAAGACAAATCACTAACATAAACTTCAAGAAGAAAAAGAATATCCGGTTAGCCTAATAACTATGAAAAGAAATTCTGAAGCTTTAAAATCTTCCCAGAGGTCCTGTGAAGTTTTATGGGTGAGATTTTACAAAACCTTCAAGGAACAGATGACATAATAGTGCACTTTAATTATGACCATAAATCTAGAAGCCTTAGATTCTCTGCTCATATTTTATTTAATAGAATAGTTAACCATTAAATGTTTAGCTCCGGAATACAAGATTGATTTTTTTTTATGTGAAATTTCCAGTTTTCACAGTGCAGGCACTAAAGACTACCAACTTCAACCCTTACCTTCTACTCGCCTTCGAAATCACTGAAAAGCTAAACAACATCAACAAGAAATTTAAATGCGCCTTGCGTGGGCAGAACTCTGCAGCAGAGTGAATGAGGTGTGTCCTGCTCCCGAGGGAGATTCTTGGGGTGAAAGGGTTCAGGTAAAGGTGGAGTGGTAAACACTGAGGAAATAGGCCAGGAATCACTCATTTGCAATTAGCAGGGATTGGGGGTTGTAGTTTTCCAGAGCCTGGCTAAGCACCAAGGGGCCAGAGCTTAGGTCCTTAGCAGCCTTCTAGGTGCCTGGGGGTGAAAGAAGGCTCAAGTGTGGGGCTGGAGCGATAGTACTGTGGGTACTGCATGTGGCCAACCCAGGTTCGATTCCCAGCATCCCATATGGTCTCCCGAGAACTGCCAGGAGTAACCCCTGTGCGTCGCCAGGCGTAACCCAAAAAGCCAGCCCGGAATATAATCTGACTCCAGGCCCCCTGCCCACCCAAACTAAAAAGGTTTGCTCTATCGAGAAATTAGTAAGTTAACAAAGGAAGAAGGACAGGCACTAAACAGATATTACAGTAACAGTGAATGGCAGAAGAACGCTTACCATTTAACATGTGACATTTAACCATGAAAAGGCATAAGCAGAGGCAAGTGTGCGAGAGAGCAATGGTAAGACACCAGAAAGAGAACACATGCGCCCCCCAGGGGCCAGCGCGTCGGTGCTAGACTCCCATGAGGTGGACCTGGGTTTGAGCCCCACTAGTAAGTGATCCCTGAACACAGCCAGGAATAAGCCCTCAGCACTGCCAGGTCTGCCCCCTCACCAGAAAACAAAAACAAAACAACAACAAAACACATAAGCCTTGAACTAGGACAGAGAAAATCAGAACCAAGTTTCTCCCTGGAAATGACGCAGAGATGATGAAACCCTGCCGAGAACGGGACTGAGGAAGCTCCTGGTAAAAAACTTGGATCTTGACTGACTTGGTGGTGGGGGGGGGGGGGGCGGGACAGAGCCTTGAGGGTGGCCGGCAGGAGTATACGCGTCTCGCTGAAGGAAAGTCTCTCTTTAGAATTCTAAACCATGAGGCTGCACTGGTGTCTAAGAAAGAAAAGAAGGGCTGGAAGGATGGCTCAGTGAGCTGCTCTGCATGCGGGAGCCCTGGATGTGCTCCTCGGGACCGCAGGGCTCCTGATTACCACCAGGTCTGGCTCACCAAAATAAAGGGCAAAGGCTGGAGCAGACATCTCTCCAGAGATACCTGGAGGGCCAGGGCAGCAGCTCACATCAGGGTCATGCAACTCTAAAGCCCAGTGAGACGCTGCTTCACACCCATTAGGGTGGCTATTATGAAAGCAAAACCACCAACCCCCAAATATAGAAAAGGGGCAGCTGGGATGTAGCTCAGTGGTAAAGTGCTCCCCCAGCACTGGATGGTCTAAGCACTGCCAGAAACAACCCCGAGTCCAGAGATCCAGAGCCCGTGAGCACTGCTGGAGTGGGTGCCCACTCCCTGCTGCTCATCCCCTTGCCTCTCCCCTCCCCCCCAAAAAAAGAAAACTAAAGTACTGGCAAAGTGGCAAAGATGGTGGAAAAACTTGTGCAGAAATGAGAAAATTTATGCAATGCAAAATGGTAACAGCTCTGGTAGAAAATAATTTTGAGAATTCCTCCAAAAGTTTTAATATAGAAATGCCACACAGATGACAAATTCCACTCCTTGGTGTATACTCCAAGCAACTGCAAATAGGCACAGGACCAGAGAGGCTACAGAGGGTGGGCACTCGTCTTTCAAGCAGCCAACCAGGGTTCGATCCCCAGCACCACATATGTTCTGAGATCTGCCAGGAGTGATCCAGGAGCACAGCCAGGAGTGGCTCAAACCTCCAGCCCACCCCGTTGCAATAGTTAAAGGTTTCAACAACCCGTCAATAAACAAAACATATATACATACAGTGGGATATTATTCAGCATAAAACAAAGTTCTCATACATGCTATAATATGGATGAACCCTGAAAACATCATGCTGAGTGAAATAAGCCAAACACAAAAGACTGTATGATTCCACCCACCTAACCTAGAATAGGCAAATTCCTGAGACAGAGTTTCTGGTTACTTCCCCAGACTAGGGAGACTGGGACAAGGCAGGAAGCCCGGCAGAGCCAGAACACAGCGGCAAAGGCGTCTGCCGTGCAAGAGGCTGACCCAGGTTTGATCCCCAGCACCCTGATGGTCTCCTGAGCACTGCCAAGTGTGGCCAGAAGACAAAGCAAAACAAAAAGTCCCCTCAGCTGAACACAGCTTCAGGTACTGCACGGGGAAAAGCTGGGGCTCCCGTGCCGTGCAGTGCCGGGGCGGGGCAGCAGGCAGCCTCAGGGCTCACCATGACAGCGGCTCCTGGGGCAACAGCCGCCACAAAATGCAGCTGTGAACCAGCTTGAGCCCATGTTCAGACCCTCCTGGGCTGGCATCAGAGCAATTCCTTTCTTTCTTTTTTTTTTTTTTGGTCACACCCTGTGATGCTCAGGGTTACTCCTGGCTTTGCACTCAGGAATCACTCCTGGCGGTGCTCAGGGGACCATATGGGACGCTGGGAATCAAACCTGGGTCAGCCGCGTGCAAGGCAAATGCCCTACCTGCTGTACTATTGCTCCAGCCCTGTAATTCCTTTCTCGAGGAGTGCAAGAATCATCCTGCTTTTCAAAGGAAGTTTCTGGTATTATGGCATTAGAGAAAAATTCCCAAGCACACCTGGGGGGAGAGAGAGACCCCAAAAGCAGTGCTGGGAGGCTGCGCACCGAAAGGAAGGAAGGAAGGAGCCTGGGCTAGGGCGGTGGCTCAAGGGCTGGTGCACAGACTCTGCATGGAGGAGCCCTGGGTTCAATTCCCCACTGCTGCACGGTCCCCTGAGCACCCTCAGCTGTAGCACCGCCCCCAAGCCAAAACAAAACAGCGAACGGGTCCAAGCAAGCCTAAATCTTCAGAAGAATCAAGTGGAGGGTCTGGGAGGGACTCTCGTGAGCCCGTGTGCAGGCACCCGTGTGAGCAGCCATGGTGAGTCCTGCTCAGTAGAAGAGCAAAGAGAAGTGGGAGAGGAGGAAAATTCTAGAACTGAAAATTACAGTCATAGGATTAAGACCGTAATAGATGGATTCAGTAAACTAATAACCAGATGAGGGCTCAGAGGAAGGCAAAAAAAAAAAAGGGAAGAAAATGCAGAACAGAGAATGGAGACACCGACATGGCAGGGCTGTTTAACGTGTGGAGGTTGAGTCCAAAAGGAAAGAGCGAAAATGGAGCAGAAACTTGAGGGAGACAGCAGTTAAGACTTCTCTGAAACTGTTATTAAAGTTATTGAAGTACAGAAAGAAAGAAAGAACATTCTACACAGGTCTCACAATGCACTGTAGCACTGTCCTCCCGTTGCTCATCAATTTGCTTGAGCGGGCCCAGTAACGTCTCCATTTTGAGACTTGTTGTTACTGTGTTTGGCATATTGAATACGTCACGGGCAGCTTGCCAGGCTTTGCCGTGCGGGCGAGAGACTCTCGGTAGCTTGCTGGGTTCTCTGAGAGGGGCGGAGGAATTGAACCCAGCTCAGCCAGGTCGGCCATGCACAAAGCAAACGTCCTACCACTGTGCTATCACTCTAGCCCTAGAATACTAGAGCAGGAAAATGATTCGACGAAGGGGAAATGCAGACAAATGAGTCACCTGCTGGGGGTTCTGTGGATAGAAAGGCCCGATTCGCTCTGGAGCACTCTTCTGCAGAGTCACGGCTGCTGTCTGTTGCTTGCAGGCCTTTAGAATGTGCCCTAGGTGTACCTGGCATCGACTTCCACATACAAGGGAGCTGGGGAAACTCAAATTTTTATTTTGGGTAGGGGGGACACAGCTGGTATACCGGGGATCAAACCTGTGTCGGCTGCATGCAAGGTAAGTGCTGCTGTACTTCTGCTCTTGCCCCCGAACCTCAAATGTGTAACAGGGCCCAGAGCAGCCGAGAGTCAAGTGCCACGCAGGCTCCTTTACAAGCTATGTGTCGCTTGATTTCTAAACTCTGGGTCTCTGGTGACAGCAGGTAGGAGTTTGCCTTGCATGAGGCTGACCTGGGTTTGATCCCCGGCATCCCCTGTGGCCCCCGAGCACCGCCAGGAGTGATTCCTGAGTGCAGAGCCAATAACCCCTGAGCATCACTGGGTGTGGTTAAAATGCAAAAATAAAATAAAACTCTTGCATCTGGTGCAAGCAGCAGGCTGTGGGGCGGCGTGCTGCCCTTTTCCAGGGCTGCTTCTGTCTGTGGTTGGAACTTTCTTGGGATTTTGGAATCCAGCACCGCACTGAATGACAGGAAGACCTTATGAATGGAAACCAATGAGGACATCAAACGGCAATAAAAAAGAGTTTGGGTTCTGGCACTACCTCAAGA